AAAAGAACCACTATTTTTGTTACTAGATTTGAATTTGGATGACCTTCTTTAATTGTTATTATTTCATTTTCAGGTGTGAAGGTTTCTCTACTTATCCAAGGACGTATGACCTCATTCACGCGAATGAATTATTCACCTTATATAAGGACAAGTAAGCCACATTTTACTTTATGTGAACTTCATAGATTATTAGCACTTCATTCTTGCTAGTACACTCTCTTTTGCTTCTTGAGGAAGCAGAAAATTAATAGATGAAACTTTAATAGCCAATTCAATTGTGTGGTTCTTGTGACCACATCATGAACAAACACACCTAAATACTAAATAGTTGAAACAAAAATGGTTATATTCGAACCCACATGTTGAGAATTTTAGTACTAATAACTTATTCATGAAGCAACCTTGAAAAGTTGCATTGTGGCCATCAATAATCCACTTTCCAATTAAAAACGCAACTGTCCGAGACCATAAAAATATGTTACCAAATTGGCCTGGATTCATTTCATCTTCACATTATCATATAGGTGCCAATTTGAAGACATTCTGTTGGAAATGGATCGCATTTTGAGGCCTGAAGGGACAGTAATATTTCGAGATGAAGTTGATGTGTTGAATAAGGTGAAGAAAATTGCAGGAGGCATGAGATGGGATTTGAAGATGGTGGATCACGAGGATGGCCCACTTGTCCCGTACAAGATTCTTGTTGCGGTCAAGCAGTATTGGGTTGCTTCATCAAACAACACGTCCACCGATCACTGAACAGGTTATCGTGCAGTGGACTTTGTATCATTATTATTTTGCTTTCTAGAGAAAAAAAAAACAAAAAACAAAAAAAAAACCAAAGTGTCTTTTTTAAGGAAAAGAAAACGATTTTTGTGAGTCTAATTTATGCTGTTTCTGATAAATGTACCTAGATTTATTTGCATTTTTGGATTTGATGAAAAAAAAAAGAACAATGTACGTACTATCACAGTCGACTGATAATTAATGAACTTTAGTCGGAAGGTATTGTGAGATGCTTGACTCGGTTGGCGTTGTTATAGAGATTATTATTATTAGCAGGTTTTTTGTATACAGTATACACAGTGTATAGAATGAATCATGAGGGTCTTATTTTCATAGAAAATGTGATAAATTGTAAATCTATATTAAGTGTGTGTGCAATGCAAAGTGTAGCATTTTGGAGAGAAGGATCAGGATGAGGATCAACTGTGTGTTCGCTATTTAAAATTAGAGGTTCATATGCTTCATGTGCACTCTATTAAATGCACAAATTAACTGGTGTGTGCAAATGGCAGGACCGACAAAGACTACTTGTTTGGTAGATAAAATACTGTGTATGTGGGAAATTTGGAAAATGTCATAATTTAATGGACAACCAAATGTTTCAAAAAATTATATACATGTATCAAAATTTTATGGATTGACTAGAGAATCTTGAGAGATTTCCACGCCATCTAAAGTTAGTCTTGAACTCAATTCGTTAAAGCTCGTTAAGCTTAAAAAGTTAGTCTTCAACTCAACTTGTTGAAGCTCGTTAAGCTTAAAAAGTTAGTCTTGAACTCAATTCGTTAAAGCTCGTTAAGCTTAAAATAGAATGTTCACATAATTTTTTTGAACTTTTATACGTTAAGCTTAAAAATAGAATGTTCACATAATTTTTTTTAACTTTTATAATTTGACTCCATAAAACTCAAGCTTGGCTCGTGAAGATTCCAAATTCGAGAGCTAGTTTATCAACTCAAGAAGNAATAATCAATAAAACTGATTTTTTTTAACATAAATAAGTGTTCCAAAGTATGTAAAATTTGTCGTAAGATTCACTTAACCCCGAAAATATGAGATTTCTCACAAGAAGTTTAAATAACAACCTTAAAATCTTAAACTCCAAAATAACAACCTTAAAATCTTAAACTCCAAACACCACAAGAAGAAATTCCTTATAATTTTTCAATTTCTACACTCTATCAAAGCTAGTGAAATTTTCCCCCAAAAAAAAAAAAAAAAAAAAAAGATTGTTATGTTTACTCATTAAGATACAAAGCCTTCAGACCACATAACTACAATCAAATGATTACAAACACACAAATTACATAATGATGCAGCGACTTGTTTCCTCAGTTGGTTGCACTGCAGCTTGCTGGTATCTGTTTGACTCAGATGGGTTGTATGTAAATTCCGAGGTATCCAATCCGTACTGTTACACAAACATGTAGCAAATATCATTCTCTAGTACTATATTGTCAACAAAGTAAGTAAAACTAGAAAAATCAAACTATAATTCCAGATAAGAAACAGATCTATTGCTACTTACACAACAGTCACAGATTCCGGTATGTCATGTGTAAGCCAAAGCATTACATGACAAACGAACACATAATTAGACAACATTCTCAGAGCCTCTTTGTACTTGGAGTATATAACGGTGTTTGTAAGTAATAATCTTTTGTATTGATAATTCTCCTTATATATATAACACTCCGAGATCTTAATTAATACATATGGAATTACTCATGTCTTCTCATTTTCGTATCTGAACACGGTATCTACAACAGACAAGCCACCCACCTAAAGTGAATCAGAACTGAAAATTAAACACTGTTCATTTTTGTGCCAGTTTTTTCGAGTTGCAACTTTTCTACACGAGCTTATAATTTGTAGGAGTATTTAACTTTGGGGTTATAATAAGCTTTCTGTTAACATTACCAAATAGCCTGCGACATTTACAAGTGACAGCAAGACATTTCATAACAAATGCATCTCATCAGCCAAACAGATGAATGCATTTGCTTTGTACATCATCACCTCAGCCAAACACCGTTATATAATCAGTACAGTTGTCAATACTGCCATACTTAACCCTCATATAGTAAAAAAGTTCAACCAACTGAAGAAGTTCCAAAATTAAGAGAAAAAAGGAAACAAAGATCTATCATACTTTTAAATGCTTTATTCATGCTTCTTGAATCTCCTGCATCAGACTAGCTAAACTCTATGCATATTTACTTGTAATCACATTTAATGGTATATGAATTGCCTACTGGCTAGCACTAGGAAATCATTCAACAATAGTCGACTTAGAATTTTGGTAACACAGCTTTTCACAAAGGATAAAAAGATAAAATTGCATTTGGCATGGTAAAAAAATAAAAAATAATTAAAAGAGTTTTCACCTTTTCCCTCATTCGTGTACTCCAAGCATCATTCCTACTCGGACGGTGATCAAGAGAACCAGAAACAGGTACACCTGTGGCTGGAGCAGCTGCCCTATTATTTATCAGAGGCTGTCGAATTTGTTGCCTCGGCCCACCTATATATTCTTCATCACTATCATAGTCTGCTGGTGCATTTGCAGCTCTTACAACAAGTGCTAACAAAAATATAAGGGCCTGCAGTTTTGATTATTAATTAGTATCAGCTCTGGGTGCACAAAAGCTGATAATAGTGAGGTTAGCATAAATCACATAATCTCGCAACGAAAGAATTTGGTGTCTAAAATCAATGTTCAAAGCCACTTTATAACTTGTAGATGATATACACCTTAAAGATTTATCTTTCGAGAGAAAGGAATAAATTGCATAAAGATTTTCATGCACAATTGCTATGAGAAACATCCCAGTTAGCCTTACCTCTAATATGACAACTCCCAAAGCCACCCACTGGATAATTTTCCAGTGCCCCTCCATAAATTCATATATCATATCAAAATTTCCAGTTTTGTCAGTTGGAATTTCCTGCACATTGATTTTTTTTTTTTAATTATCATATTCACAAATGATAGTGAGTGTGAAATGAAAGTTTTAAATGGAGATCAACTAACCTGTTTCCAGCTCTTGTCAAAGAATATAAAGGCAGCCAACCCCAGCTCTATTAGTATTAACAAGAACACCAGTACTGAGAACTTTAACAATCTTAAGGAACCCAACAACCATTGATAAAGAAAAATATCCACACAATTTCCATAACCTTAGAAGTGTAGAAAAGAGAGAAGTAACAAAGACAAGTTCAAACAACCAACCGTTCGCTCGTACTCTTCCAACCAACTCCAAACATTTTGAAACAATAGTGACTCATATTGTGAAAGCTGTGATAACTTCAACTAAATAAGCAACAACGGGAATTTAACTATCAATCAGATTCATAAAAAAATGGAAATGTTATATAGAGAAGCATACAAGTAAGACAATTAGATCAATATAAAGGATACGCAAGTCAAGCAGCACCCATTACGTGTAGCAGTTCCAATGCAACCACAACAAGCAATAAACAGAACAACTGCACCGGTGCCAATGAAAAGATATATAAACCTGCAAACAATGCATGGGAAGCCAGTATAAAAATATTATGAACACAATAAAACCTATGAGACATGTATATGCAACTTCATTAATTGGGGAAGCCATTACACTCGTGAAAAGCATAACAAAATTTGAAGTTCCAAACAAAATTTGCATCAATAGCTGATAATCTGTAGATGACAAAATCGCATGATTCATATGGGCTCAGATAGAAACGGATCATATTCATGGGTTTGGATTAAGACTACAAGTGAAAGAAAGTAAAGTTAGGCAAACTAATCATCGCCAACTATAAATAAGCTTTTAACACAACTAGAACCATATTTGTCGAAATAAACAAAATTGAATAACGAGAAAACCACAATTGTGTTTGCACAGACATATGGGGCATTTGTGTTTTCAAATTTTAATGGCAAAGTTAGTAGTAATAACAACAGCACGTTCCTGGTAGTATATCACAAAGCAATACAATTCCACAAATATCCAAGAAAAATATAGGAAAATCAAACAGTCAAGTTGCTCCAACCCGAGCTATGAGATAATGTATTTACCACACAAATAATCGAGAAGTTACACGAAACTAATCAAAATGAAAGGTAAAACTACGGACAGCTGCAGATGAAAAAAGATAATGTATTAAAAAGCATCTTCATGCATGTAACAAGAATAAAAGCAGTTGCACCTATAAGTATACTACATTATACAAGTCGTGAACCGATTACCATACCACGCCTTTGGAAGTTTGTCGAAAATACTATCACCCAGAGTCACAGCTAACAGCATGGGCCGACCAAGCTGCACAATCTCTTCACTCGTAGGGGGAAGAGGAGCATCACCAGGAGAATCAGCATTCTTATACTCCACGAAAAGGTATATTCCATAACCAATCATAGCCAAGCCCACAAGAATTAACAAGAAATTCAGAAGCTTCAACAGGCATTCCCAGAACCCCTTACAAGCCATTCTCCACAAGAATCTATGTCACCTATAGATCTTTTATTAACTCAATCCCGTCTTTACCTGAAAAGGTAACTACCCAAAATTACATCCCCCTTCAACAATAGAACTTAATCGCAATGCATAAACTTGTACTAAATTGTCCAACTTAATTACATTCTTCGGCCAGTTTTTGAGACAAATATACACGAACCCATTTGAAACGAATAACCCACCAAGAAAAGAAAAGTGCTTGTGCAATTTCTTACCAATAATTTGAATTCAAGAGTGAGAAAAGGCACTGAAGGTCAAAATCTATCTACGATTAAGAACATCAATAAAACAAAACAACGAGAAGAGAGAAGAGAAACTCAATCAACGAATTTCATTTTCTCAGATAACGGCACATGGGATGCTTACAGAAGGGCGATTGCAGATCAAGATTCCGAGTAGAGGCCAAGGGCGAGGAGATGAGAACGATGATGGGAGCGGTGGTTCTAGACGAATAAAAGCTACGGCGTCAACACTGGCTAATTTTTTTTTATTTATTTATTGTTCTAAAAAATGTGTTTAAAATTTTAAATAAATATTCACAGACACGTATACATTTTAATTTTTAGGAGGATAATGTAAAGTTAAGCCACTTTTGCGATCGATAATTTTACCTCTATCGTTTTTTTTTAAAAAAAAAATCGATAATTTTATATTATTTTAATTTAAAATTTAATCTTTGTATCAGAAATTTATATTTGATTTCGAGACATTATGAATTAGATTAATGATAAAGCATATTAGTAATGATTGTAAATTTTTGAAGAGTGCATGGATTGAGAACATTTATAATTGTGAAAGATCATTATTTTTAACACATGTTAATTAGTGATTGTAATGTTAATCTACATAGGAATAATGTTAAAAGACTAAAAATTTTAATGAAACTAGTATCTCCAATGCATCAATTTGATAAAAAGTTATTTGTATAGGTGGACCAATTAAATAATTCATTGATACAAAAAAATTAAAAAATTAAAACAAATATAAAGTAAATTGATGAGTCATCCTGTTTAACATGGTGTTAGATATTAGAAAGTGTGCTCAACATTGTCAACATTAAATGACATCCACCTCATCATGAAAGAGTTCATGACAAGATGCATCGGAGAAAAAAATAGAGACACACTTTTAAAAGTTGATGATATGGATGATTTTTTATAATGTCAAAAGTTGCATCGGAGATGCTCTGAGGGTTGGACGCCTTTTTAGTAAAGAGCTGCCGGCCAATTTTAAGGCTTTGTTGGTTGGGAAATGAAATTATTAGTTTTCCACAAAATAAAACAATTAATGCTATTCTGTTTCAAAATTTGAACTTGTTATTTTATTTGCTTTCAATTTGTTTATGTTACAATTAAAAATTGAATATATGTAAGTATGTTAGTATTTTTTTTGATACATATCTAGATTATGTTACATTTTTATTTAATTCAGAAGTAATTATTTTTAAATATAGGATTGTAACATGTATGGATAGCTGAACTAGTCTATTGAAAATTCACTTTAACATCTCTGTCTTAGGAGGAATTCGACTCTTTAGTCACCAAGTTCTTATCGTTGGATCAATACATATTCGTATAAGTACAGATGTGTTGATCCAACCGTGAAAAACTAGTACAATCATAGTAGGGTGAAAACTGAAAACTACACTCACCTAGTAACCTTAAAACTGAAAACAACACTCACCTAGTAACCTTAGATGTATATCGATCACAGTTTGAAGCTGAATTGTCTTATGTGAATTTACTTGTACTCATCTTTCAATTAAATAAATGGATTTCAAAAACCTGGGTCACCTGAGACTCAGATGAGAGTTACTCAACATAGTGTAAGCTAACAAATTAGAACTTGAAAGGAAAGACTCTTACTTAATGACAACTGAAACCAAATTAGATTTTTGCATCTAAGCTGCAAATGCAAAGACAGCACATCGTTCTTTGATCAATCGTGAGCGAAGTGAGAAAGAATTTTTCACAAAATAAAGAAAAGAGAACATAAGTTATATGAACTGAAACAAAAACGGCCTGTATCAATGTTAAATGTATAGTTTTCCCCACTTTTTACTCCTAAGCATTGCAAGACTGTACCTATCTAGATTGTCATTAAATCCAAAATGGAGGGTCCAGACAGACCCCTTAAATCTCTAACTACAAACACATGACCCGTTTTAACATTTCGAAGTAAATGTAAATTCAGTCTACATGATTCAATAATATACTTTTGAGTAATGCTATATTATACAGTGATTTCTCTATGAGAATTTTTTTTTTTTTTTCTCTCTCTCTCTAGCACGTCAATCAGCTCTGCACTTTGCGAACCTGAATATGGTGAGTGGATTCTCGGCGCCAAATGGGTTGTGCTCCACTTTGGACGAGCGTGACATCCTGCCCTTCAACCACAAGGCCCTTACTCTGGACATTAAAGGAAAAAAGCACACATCTATTGAATATCTAAGTTATAGCAATTAGCAAGTGGTGTTTGTGATAAAGTTGCAGAAAGATCAATTTATTTATTACCAATAAAAGCTTCAAAGCCTGTGAAAAAGTCTCCTCCACATCATCCGTAAACTCCATATATATAGGCATCACACCATGATAAAGGATCAGGCGCTGCTTCACCTTTTTTCTGTATACAAAAGCAGTTTTAGATAAAAAAATGCAAGTTGTTAAAAGACACAAATGACTAACAATGAGTGAATTATTAATGACCTACGACATGTATAGATGGGAAAACCGCCAGCCCATCAATGCAAGAAAATCTGGAAAATTCTCAACCTCAATTTAGGACTCAGTATCTGTTGTTTAAATGTTATCAAATAAAACAGATTGGGTGAATTTAGACTCCATTAAAAAACACAGAATTTCATAGTATGTTATCTTGTGTATGAAATCACAAATAAGTCTAATTTTCAATGACAGACTTCCATTAGCAGCAAGACTAATGTACTAAGCAAATTCACAACAATATCATTAGAATGACAACAAATACAAATATTTCCCTGAAGGAATGTACATTAATTACATCCCTCCCTCAGATTCAAGCCCAAAAATCGTTACCAGACTAAAGAATTTTAATACCAAATGTAAATGTGTTAGTAATTATCTGCATAATAAGCTACATATAGCAAACAACAAGAAAATGTCACCAAGAAAATCCTTCGAAGTTGAATTCAGGGGAATGTAAGTAGTTAAATATCATCAACCGCATGTTGACGGCATGTAAGAGATATGCATACTACTGATGACAGGTAAAAGAAATAGTTGAACTACTTACACATTTGTGAAAGCAAATATAGTTGAGGACGGCCGGTAATGACTCAAAGTTATAGCCATGGACCCCGTTCTTGTGAAAACTATGATGGGAGTCGCCAGAGTGTTTGCCATTGTGGTGGCATGGAAAGCAAACATATCACCCATATGGCTCTGCTGAATAATTCAGTATTCAATTTAAGTAAGTGGGACGACAGCTGATGGAAAGAGTCACAAACCAATTTTAAATGGAGATGCGGAAAAGAAAGTGTCAAGATGAAGGCCAGGCACGTAAGGAAATTCTTAACCCCAAAGAGGGAGAAAGAAAGAAAAAGAAGCAATAGTAATGACAACAAAAGGAAATGAAGGAATGATGATGGACATGAAAGAACAAAATGTGCCGAACAATCTCATGATACTGACGTAACATTTATAATAATTTTCATATGGAGGCACCTTAAAAGCAGGCGATTGGTCTGGTGAACTGATGGCTATCGGTAGGCTGGACTCAGTCCTTAATGCCACAGTATGCATCACTTTAACTGCCTTCAATGGAAACCTAATGGATAACAAAAAAATAAAAAAGAAGACGATTATTTTATCAACTTAGATTATACCGCTCTGAGAAGAAAGCACACACAGAAATTATTGGAACTCAAATAGTGAACAATGATGTCACCCACTAGTGAGTCATTGAAATGAGATGATGGTATTCATGTTCAAGGTCAATTGTAATACAACTATAGCTCAAGAAAAATATTTAGTCATAAAGAGTCAATTCAATGAACAATGCCCAAATGCTGCCCAAAAAGCATATATTATCTTCACAATCAACAATAGAGTATCTCATTAGCTAAAGATCAATAGTTTCCAGCAAGTGAACATTTTAGTTGGATAGTTCCAGTGATAATAACTGCTTGTGGCCATTTAATTAATAATGACTATAAAAAACTAACAGATAAAATTTTTAATTTGATATAAGGAAGAAAGAGTGTAACAGGTAAAACGCAACATCTCACGAGTTGCAGTCTTGCAGACCAAGTGGTATCCAGCACCCTTTTGTAAAAGTGCTAATGAGCTAATCAGGGCCAGTATCCCACGTCTTAAAATTTCTATTCTATTTACGCCCTCAGCTTCCAATCGCTCTTCCCAGTTAATTAAAAAAGGAAAAAGAGAAAGTAAAACACCAATAATAGGATACACATACAGTATATATACACTCTAGGAACTAAGATAACTCACTTCCCATGAGCCGTTTCTCCCGATAGCATTATTGCATCAGCACCTTCTCGTACTGCAATCGCAATGTCGGACACTTCAGCCCTTGTTGGAGTTGGGTGATTAATCATACTCTCCAACATGTTGGTTGCCACTATAACAGGTTTTTTCATGCTTCTACATCTTCTTATGATATCTTCCTGTGTACAAAGTAAAGTAACCCTAAATTCTCACCTTGTTTGCCCAACAAAGTTTACAATGAAAACTAAACTCATTGTTTCTTCAACAAATTAGAATACAATATATCATGAAGGTAGGAATCACTATATTCTAACACATGAATAAGTCATAAACTGTACAAGTTAGCTAGGATGAATTTAGTATATGTGAAGGTAAAAATGCTGAACAATGTCAATTTATTGGTTGTGAAATCGCGTTGACCCATATCAGTTCATAGTTTCAATAAATATAATTCTTGAAAGACTACACTCTTTTTTTTTTTTTTTTNAGGTCATATATAAAATGCTCCAAATTGAAATATATTTTGTTTGATAATAGTTAAAAGAACTCAGCATACTATTGACAGAGATAATAAACATGTTTCATAATATGCACATCTCAATAAGCATTATTCCGATCAGCTAATTACAAACTTATCATACTAGTTCAATCTTATTAAGAAAGCTTGGTAACATTAGATTTGTCTTAGTTAATGGATGTCATATTTCCATGTCCAACAAGTCCCCATGGCCGCCACTAAAGTTTAGAATGTTGATAAAGATAAAAGCAAGTGCATGTGTGATAAGCTTTCACAGAATTCACACTGGACCAACAAAGCAGGGGAACAAGCTTAAATAAACTAAAGTTTAGTCATTTAAATTTATAAATTTCCTCATTATTTTCCTCGCACTTGTCTAAGTATGCAGTAATATCCAAGTCCCAACCATTTCAAACTGTGGAGACTGAAGCTTGTGCAATTCGTCAATTTTAAAACCCAACTCCTTGGCAGAGTTACTTTTGTCATTTCTACCAAATCAAACTCAAGAATGTGGGCCTACTTGATATAACGAAGATATTGTTAAAACTTATTACTTTGGCAGGAACTCAAATAAATCCAAATTAGTACAAAATGGGTATTAGTTCACATGTACAAGTTGGCAGAAGTGATTGATCCCTCCGTTCACGGACTTCTAAATCATTAATAGACAAGCTTGCAAAATTAGCAGATATGCATAAAATGTGTACTTACTCTTGGCTAACATTGAGTACCTGTAACAAAGGGACTTCCTCAATCGGGAGTTCAGCTCCCAGGTCACCACGAGCTACCATTGCCTATCACATTCAGTGGTTGAGGAGTTAAAAATATACTATTATAGAATATGAAATAATGTTGATTCAGAACAAGTAAAGCATGAAGGAAAAGAAACAAGATCATGCGCACATAGTTTGCATGACTTGAGTAGATTTCAAGTGATTGCAGCGAAATTAAGTCTTTTCCTTAGAGTAGCGAAGGATCTTTTGCCATTTGAAGAAAAAGAAAGTCCTAAACAGTTACTAAGACGATTGACTAATTCTAGGTTGATTCCATATCTTTCCTTAAAATTCTTTACACTAGCCTAACAGAATTATGAACATTTAAGATAAAACATTGACATCATGCTCTGCATTTCTTTTGTCAAACTTACAGAACATAACCTTGTACAACAGAAGAAGAATGCCATTCAATACTCACATTCAAGAGAAGTTCTGTAATGTTATTTTTATATATCGAATTACATTTTACACCATTCACACACTTTATTTCATTCTTTTTCACCAATCATTTTGACTCATTTTTTTTAAAAAAAAAAAAAAAATTCCCAATCACTAGTCATTAATAAACATTTTTCTCTAATACTACCATCCCCACACATAACCCTCAAGTCTTAACTACCAATATTATACAACCATTATTTTACTATATTTATATTAAACGAACTATGATCATCACATTTCTATTTCATTTCATTTATTTTCTCAAAAAATTTTCTCATCTTAGCAAAAAATTTTAAATGGATGTGTATCCAACTCCCCAACTTGTTTGGATAAGTTTACATATACATCATCGAATTTAATCTAATGTATAATCCATTAACAAACTAAGAACCATGCCTACAAACCTAAACAAGGATATACATCATTATATTTGTTTATTTGTTATATTTTGTAAATTTTACTTATATTTCTTTTGGGAAATTTTATTTTACATGAATTCTTATCATTTCTTATAGTTTACATAGGTATATTATTTTTATGTACTTATATTATATTATATTTGTATTGGTAAATTAATGTTAAGCTACTTCACCAGACGGAATTTCGAGCTAGCTATCATCTGCCACAATATTTTCATATGCTTGAATTCGTACCCCTTTCTTAGTTAGCGCTTGTATTCACCAGCACTAGAGCTCCACTTAATCTTCCCTCTCGCTTGCATTCAACTTGTATCTTTTTTTACTATTTTTTGTTTAATTCTTCCATTTTAAAATCTTAAACTTGGAGTTTAAAGACTTTTTAGTAGTTCGGGGTGTAGCGGAGGAGAAAAGATAATGTGAACTAAACAAGGTTACAAGTGTAAAAACCTAAACTGTGAATGCACTGCATAACTGGTACCAATTAAACTTGTGTTACTTTGAAGTTTAAAGTTCTACCTAAAGACTCTTACCAAGGTCACTTTAATATTGAATTTTTAGTAGCCTATTTATCACATCATATGTCCCCACGGCGTTGTGCCATTGCAGAGAAATGTAGAACACCAGTAGCTGTTAAATCTTTAACAATGTTTGACACCCAAGTATGCAAATTGAGAATCCTTTGCAAGGGTAATTTTAATATGCATCATAAAGATGTTTTCTCATGTGAAATGAGGTAAAAGCATGAATTACAAATTAATTCTTTTTTTAAGTAATTATTTTCTATTGAACAGCTAAGAAGTGTTGAAGTCTGAGCACAACAACTAATATAAGAATTGGAATTATATATACTAACCCCGTCAGATGCTGAAATGATAGAGTGAAGATTAGGTATAGAGTCAGCACTTTCAATCTTCACAATCACATGAATATCTGCATTGCACCCTGCAGATCTCCAAACTCTAGTGATGAAGATCAAACAGACACATGAAGAAGGCACTACAAGACCAAATAATTAAATAGCTTACTTTTGAGATAATCTTTCAATTCATGGACCACCTTAGCATCCTTTACAAAAGAAACGGCATAGAAATCGACTTGGTTATCCACGCCAAACTTAATATCTTCCCAATCTTTGTCTGTTGAGACAGCAAGTGCAACGCTATAGTAAAACTAAACTATTATGATTGTTGTTAAAACTAAAAGCCTATGTTGTTGTTGTTGTTGTATTAGAGCTTTTAGAGTCAATTAACCTGTTATTGAGGGCAGTGTCGCACTTTTCCCACGAACATTGAGATGCCGCCTAGACTTCAGTTCACCGCCATCAACTACTTTGCATTTTACCACATTCTTTGTTTTTGATATCACAGCTAATGACATCATTCCACCTACAAAAGAGGAGCATCCAATCTTTTCAGTAGACACAGATTTGCTTTAACAACCAAAAGAAGCTCAGAATAATTGCACTGAAACTCGTGTAGAAACAAGCATTGTATTTCACCTCAAAACATCAGTACTATTATAACTGAAGAATTAGGTTAGATGCACTTTACTCAATTTATAAATGCATTCCATTTGACAAATGTCCAATCACAAATTAAATTAGGAATGGTCAGTTCTACTAATGCATGAGCTAAAAATTACCAAAGCACCCTCTATGCTTTTATCTTGAGTAGTGCCATCAGAATGCTCGAAAAGACTAAGAAAGGTGAATAAGAAGATCCAAATAACTTCTAATCTGATCTAACCCAACGCCTGCATGTCTGTAACACAGGTAGGATGCACCCAAGCGCAAGACTTGGATAAGATTTTACTCACCATCAACTAGTACAATGTCCCCAACCTCAACATCATTTATGAAGTCATCATAGTTAACACTCACAGTGTCAACTGTACTGACTCCTCTTTCAATGGTGAAATTGAACTCTTGTCCTTCCTTGAGAAGGATTGACTGTGGTACATCTCCACTTCTAACCTCGGGACCCTGTATAAAAGTATTTATAATAATAACAGAAACAGAAAGTAACCCTACCAGCAGACCTCAGAGAGAAAGAGACATTTTCCTTGAAAATAGAAAGAGATACACTTCACATTCATGAATACCTCAATAACTTGTGAATCCAAACATAAATGAAATGGATATTGCTACTAACAGTTCTACAAAATAGGAGCCTTATCAGTTGTTCTCGACAGTTATTAAACAGAACAACAGAATACTTTGCAGAAAATTGATTCAATGTCCAATTCTGTACTAAATTTCACAAATATCTCGAGATTGACAGAGCATTAACAGTTAATGTATGAGAATGAGAAATGCATGAAGATGCACCAAAAAATAAAAATCCAGTTCAAAGTAAATTTCTCTCGTGAAAAAGGAAAGAAAAGATGCATACAACGGATGTAATCAACTTTAGACACCGGTATAGATGAATTTGTCTTTAATATGACTGTAACTAAGTGGATTCCTCCATAAGCTGATAGAGTTGGGATTGTTATATGAGCCATCAAGAAATGTACCTTGGTATCTAACATTATGGCAACAACCTTCTCCTCAAATTGCGAATTGTATTCTTTGACCAGATCTATGGTTTTCTGGTGTGATGCATGATCACCGTGGGACATATTTAAACGTGCCACATTCATTCCAGCTTCCGCCAGTTTCCAGATCATATCACGCGAACTGGTAGAAGGTCCAATAGTACAAACTATTTTTGTTTTTCGTAGAGAATTTACAGAAGTCTCTGTCAACCTTAAACCTTCATCTCCAGACTGAAATTCAAATAATTATCTCAATAAATTTCAACGTCACACATATCTGTGTATGTGTACTGTGTATATAGCTCATCAAATCTAATAATAAAGGCATACAGTGATAGACAAACTAAAGAGATAATAACATAACCACTAACAATTCACTGTGTTGTTAAGAAAAGAAACTATATCTGAACGGCCGATACAAGAGATGTAGACCTGCATTTTGCTTCATTTTCAAAAAGAGGAGAATGTTATCAATCAGATGTAAGATAGTTTTTTTGTTTCTACTTTTTCTTCAAAAGGAAGAAGAAACAAAGAGATACCCCATGATGTTTTTATGTTTCTACTTTTTCTTCAAAAGGAAGACGAAACAAAGAGATACCCCAATGACTGTAGAAGAATAGATCATGTTATTAACAGGACAAAATACTAACACGACTCATGTACTTATGCTATAAAGTTTAGAGTACCAATTGCCGATCTCTACTTCATCACTGATTTGAGATAGATCAACCATTTAATTATATTCATCGGGTTCAAACATTTGATCATGCATGTAAGAGTAGAATGAAGCATAAATGGGTGTCAAGAGGTTTCATAGATGAAACTACTCTAAGCCGATAATCAAGTAAAGCATCGCAAGGTGCAAATTAGCATCTCCATCTCTCTCTCATTTCTGGAAATCACTAACAATGTAAATAATTTATTCAAAAAAGTCTACTTGGAATATGAATTAAAATGATTCATAAACTTGCTCTACTAAATGTTATCGGTAAGGAACAACAAGCTTTGACCAGGCATAGCAGTCATCTTTGAACACTCTTAAATATAAGAAAACTGCAAACTACACTTTTTATTCACCTGAAGGGATGAAAAAATCTCTTCCTTTGCATTAATTCACAAACTTGCTTTTCATATGCCAGTTCATAGAAAATGTACTAATTAGTAATTACTAAAAAAAACACTAACTTCGCATAAATCTCCAGAAACTGAATAAGAACATACAAGCCCTGAAACTATCTTCATAATCCATAAATGAATTAGAATCCAATTTCCCCAATAAAGTACACACACACATACAAGTCAACAACCCCCACACTCTTCGTTTTCTTCTGATTTGAGCTTACGACATAGAAACATATAAACTCAGAAACAGGAAACTTACAGAGACAACCGAGCCATTCGGCGAAAACGTAGTAACCATGGCATTAGAAGAATCCATGCTGTTTGTGATCTTGGTTGATATATAACCGCAAGCTTTTCGATTTGGGATCCACGATTCGTAGGGCAAGAACAGGCCGCCGATCTTCCTGGCGGCGGACAGACGATAGGATTGAGAACTGAAAGCAGACATTCGAGCCGTTGGCAGGTTTAGGGTCGCCGCCATTTGAAAGTGGAAAAATTGCGATGCGAAGGAGACGGGAGTTGAGGGTGATTTATTTAAAAAAAAAAATTGAAAAATAAGTGGACAAAAAAAAAAAAAAAAA